GTGAAATTTGAATCAATTATTTAGTGATGTTAACATAAATTAACAAATGCATCAATTATCAAATTGATATAAAGCCATATTTTGTATCAATTTTTTGTTGAAATGATGTAAACTAATAAAAAAATTGTATCAATTTTGTTAAACCGATGTTAAATTAATCAATAATAACATCAATTAACATAAGTGATGTTAGACAACAAATTTTGTATCATTTATTAATAAGTAATTTAAAATAGTATCGTTCAATTTTGTAATACTATTTAATTGATGTAATACATACATTTTTTGTAGTGTGTAAGATGATATAGTAAATCCAAAAAAGCCCAATTTGATTTTTTTTTTTTTCAAAATGAAACTCCTTAATCGTTCAAGAATTAATCGTTGGAACATGAGCTATATTATGTTCAGTTCTAGTCAATATAACCGAAAAATATAGAATTGTTGGTGTTATTATATACTTATTCTTGTTGGATTACTAGATTCGTTAGTGGCTTTAGTACTATACATTTCGTTGATCAAGTTGGTACATCTATAGTAGAAAACACTGACTAAGATATACATTATAAAATCTTAGTCATTTTAATCAAGTATAGACTCAAATTTGACAAAAGGGGACGAGAGTATATATTTAGTTAAATAAAAGAGCAAGTTGTTGATACGAGAAGGAAAAAATCAAATTGAGGGAAGTTTGGTGAAAAAGAGAATGATTGGGGTGCTTTAAAACAAAACCAAGGTAGCTAAGATATGAGATCGGTCGAGAAGAGAAATAAAAAAAGCTACATACAGTATCTATAAACTAATAAGAACGTTATTTAAACACATGAGGGAGTCAGCTTTTGTAAAATGCGTATGGAAGTCACGTGGGTTTAGGGAAGATGGAGAAAATAATTAAATCGTATGTGGTAGATAGATTCATATACTTAAACTTCAGGATAAAAATAATTTAATCTGTTTTTTTTAATATTCAACAGAAAATCTAATTTACAAAGATTTGTAGTGTTTTGAATTATAAGCACATACCATAAATTTAAAAAACTACGGTTAAGTTGGTTGATGTGATCGGAGCCACTTGATTATAGTGTTGTCACAACGATGATCTCTCAAGGTTCGAACGGTGATCAGTTCATTGCGAAACGATTCGTCAATAACAAGTCGTATAACGAGTATACAAAGACTCCTTGTCAAAGGCTGACCAAATATGAGATGCATAGTTGCATTGCAGGTAAAGAAAATATAAGAGCAATTCTTAAAAATAGCGTGTCCTCCAACAAGAAGCTGCAAAGACAGCATCATCCTGTGAACATACGTACTATGGCTCTAATAATCAAAAATATTAGTAATGAGTAATGACATAGCTAGTAAAAGAATCGTTTCAGTGATACTAAATTATTTAGAAACTCTATATTCCTGTGTAAAGAATTAACTTTTGAGTTCTTATATTAATCTTACAACCAATATTTATATTAGAAACTGTTATAATGTATATTTTAGAGAGCATTATGATTATTAAATCCGGTTGAGATGAGACAGATTGTATATTTGTATATGAGAGATTTGGAATCTTCAAAGTATATAATAAAATCAAGTTCACTTTTTCTTACGTGGTACACTCACCTAACAATCCAATAATGTAAGAAAAAATTACCGTAAAACAAAAAAAAAACCACTTGCTGGGAACTATTTATCTCCTTAAAATATTTTTCAATGTAGTTTTCAAAAAAAATATATATATATTTTTCAATGCATGCAAGACATTTTAAAGGAAAAGAACAATCTTATGGGGGCTTTCTCAGAACGTTAGAAAATATAGGTACTTTAACAGAATTTTTTTTTAAAATAAGGTTTAAACTAGAAAGGGAAACCCATTGTGATCCTATATAAACGAAACTTCACATCGACAAACCTAACCAATACATAACTAATAACTATAAGCCAAGAAAATGAAGAATTTAGGGTTTCTAATTGTTTCGACCTTTATGGTTCTTTTTGCAACTCTTCTTCCTTATTCTTCTGCTTCAACCACCCGTCGATTTCACTTTAATGTAAGCCATTTTTTGAAAACTCAATTTCATTTTATTTTCATCCAAAACTAATTTGGTGATCCGATAATATATCAAAATTCAGACATATCGATCATACATCATTGTATAAATACACAACTTTTTTTCCTTTTACACATCTTTAGCAAACATATCTTATAAAATATTTTATCGTACTAGTGGTAAACTACGCATATGTAGCACTAACGTTTTCTAGTATTGTTAGAACATTAATTTTTGTTTATTCTATGTGAATTATAGGTCGAATGGAAAAAGGTAACTAGATTGTGCCATACTAAACAACTTTTAACGGTGAACGGACAATATCCGGGGCCGGCGATCGTGGTTCACGAAGGTGACACCGTAGAAATCAAAGTGACTAACCGGATCGCTCAAAATACAACAATTCATTGGTAAGTAAATCCCATGCATACAGAATAGTATGTATAATCACTTTAAAGAATTGTTTATGTGAGTACTATGTTTATTTATCCGTCTTATTTTCGTTTTGTGAGTAGGCATGGATTAAGGCAATACCGGACCGGTTGGGCCGATGGACCGGCTTACGTAACGCAGTGTCCAATAAGATCAAAACAATCATATACATATCGATTCAAAGTTGAAGACCAAAGAGGCACACTCTTGTGGCATGCTCATCACTCATGGCAACGAGCCTCCGTCTACGGTGCCTTCATCATCTATCCACGACGGTCTTACCCCTTCGCCGGCCACATTCAATCCGAAATTCCCATTATACTCGGTACAAAATATAACTAGTTTTTCCTTTCCTTCCAATTTCGTTGAAATCTAGTCTATTTCAGCCTTTCAGGTGAATAGGGGGAATAAACATTATGCCAACAAAAATTGACCTTAAAACTAAGCCAAACACGATTTGACCACAGTCTAAACCCCGGATTAGGTGCAAAAGAAAGAAACTAAGCAAAAAATGAAAATGAAAATGACAATTCCTTTTTACATTTTTTTTTTCAGTTAAAAAAATTTCAGTAAAAACTACACCAAACCAATTTGAAAATTAGCTCACAATCTGGAAACCGGATTTGTTTTCTTTATCGTATCATGTAAATTAAAATAAATGAATCGGACGGTTTAGGGGAATGGTGGAATGATGACGTGGACAACGTGGAGAAGGAGATGATGAAGACAGGAGATGGGCCTAAGGTTTCCAACGCTTACACACTTAACGGCCTTCCCGGCCCACTTTACCCTTGTTCTGCCAAAGGTCCAGTCTTTTCCCTTAACCGATGGTTTAATTCCGAACCAGATCGATTCAATCCGGTCCATCTCGGTTTTTTTCTCACCGTGTAAAATTTTATGGGCAGATACTTTCACGGCGAACGTGGACGCCGGAAAAACCTACATCCTCCGCATAATCAACGCAGCTCTAAACAACGAGCTCTTCTTCGCTATATCGAATCACACACTAACCGTGGTCGAGGTCGACGCGGTTTATACTAAACCGGTTGATACCAAAGCAATCATGATCGCTCCCGGTCAAACCACCACCCTCCTCCTCCGCACCGGCCAACAATTCTCCGGCGGCGAATTTCTCATCGCCGCAACTCCTTACATCACTTCCGTCTTCCCTTTCAACAACTCAACCTCCGTCGGCTTCCTCCGTTACAGCGGCAAAAAAAACAAACCGGAAAATTCCGATATCACACGGCGGAGACGGCGATTGACGACGTTATCAACACGCGAGATTCTCCCAAACATGCTAGATACGAAATTCGCGACGAGATTCTCCGATAGCATCAAAAGCCTCGGATCTGAAGAGTATCCGTGTAAAGTCCCGACTACGATCGACAAGCGCGTGATCACAACAATCAGTCTCAACCTCCAAAATTGTCCGGCGAATCAGATCTGCAAAGGCTACGCCGGAAAAAGATTCTTCGCGTCGATGAACAACATCTCCTTCGTCCGACCTCCGATCTCGATCCTCGAGAGCTACTACAAGAAAAAAAGCAAAGGGGTTTTCACACTCGATTTCCCGGAGAATCCACCGAATCGATTCGATTACACGGGAGTAAATCCGGTATCGGAAAACATGAACACCGAATTCGGAACGAAGCTATTCGAAGTGGAATTCGGATCTAGATTAGAGATCGTGTTTCAGGGGACGAGTTTCTTAAACATTGAGAACCATCCTTTACATGTACACGGACACAATTTCTTCGTGGTCGGACAAGGATTTGGGAATTTCGACGAGGAGAAAGATCCGGCGAAGTACAATTTGGTTGATCCGCCGGAGAGGAACACGTTCGCGGTTCCGACGGGAGGATGGGCAGCGATAAGGATCAATGCGGATAATCCAGGAGTTTGGTTTATTCATTGTCATCTCGAAGAACATACGTCTTGGGGATTAGCTATGGGATTTATCGTTAAAGATGGTCCTCTTCCTTCACAGACTCTGCTTCGTCCTCCTCGTGATTTTCCTCAGTGTTGAAATGGGATTCGTTCACTTTTTCTTTTTAGGGTTTTGTTTCGTTTAAATATATAAAAATGTAGATGGTTGGTCTTTTTTTTTTTTTTGGGTTCAGTGTGAAATAAGAAGAGAAGATCAGGTGTGTATTTTTTATCTAGTGAATATATGAATCTGATAATACACATGTACTCTTCTTCTCCATGTCTTTATGTTTTGATGACAACTACTGCTAGATAACTTTGTTTCACACACATGAACATGATTTGGCTTTGCATGAACATAATTTGTCAGATTGCTTGTTACATTAGAGTTTTATCAATTAATATCGTTCTTGTTCTTAATGTGAAATTTGATTCTCCCTCTACTCTCTTTTTTTTTTTKTTGWCATCGAAAGTTTTATATAATTAAGTTTGTAGTGAAGAAATCTCATCTCGGGAGAGGCAGCCGGATATCGTCGAACTAACATGCGAAAAAGTAATCCTCGAACCCTTGCTCGCAAGAAAGTCCGCTCGTACATTAAGACGACAGGATACACAAAAAATGTTGAAAGAAGGAAAGGAGGAGAGTAGGGTTTGGAAATCATTGGCTCGGAAGCATATGCGGGCCAATTTGACAGGCCTGACGCCAATGCGATCGAGTCCTTATAGTATGTGGCGAAGAGGAATCGAGTTCAAGCACCTCATTGCCCAAAAAAGAAAGTCAAGCTCAGTCTGGAAGGGTGGCATGTTTCTACCGATTACGGTTCGGATAAAATGGAGAATGTTATCAACTTCTATTATAATCCAGCCACGACTGCTAGAGGGTCCAAGGGATGCCACAATCCATCTATTTGACACGAAACATGTTGTATTGGAGTAATTTTCCTACCAAGTTGAAGAGCGACACGTTCCTGATTATTATCTTCCTGATAGATAGCAAATGACCAAGAGTGTGTTTCCTCTTTTCCTTTGTGATTATAGGTCTTGGGGCCGGGCCGGGCCGGGCCGGGTTTTAGGTCCGGTAAAGAACCTTATTTTGTAGGAGTTACCACCCGTAGAAGTTACCAACACCAACGAGTACCACAAGGGAAAAGTCCAGGATCGTCCACTTGTAAGGGGATCTTCGTAACTGACGGCAGAAATGGTGCCACGTGGTAAGACAAACAAAAGGGATCGTGGGTAACAGCTGAGACCAAGATATGGCACGTGTCGTAATTGTGGATGAAAAGAAGTATGAAATGGCCTATGCATGGCCTATATGTTACACTAATCCGACCAAAGCTT